ATCGGACCTTAAGTGATTTCCAAAATCTCTTTATATGAAATAAAGAATAATTAACGTTTAGAAAAGAAACTAAAACAAATGTCTTACCTGGAAGTACGTGTAAATGTACAATATGATCGGATGAACATAATCATGAGTGCATCGTTGTATGTGTTTCTGTTGTTTGTTCTGAATGAAGATGATGAACATTTTTTTCCGTTTGTTTGAAAAATTTGCGCGTGTAGATAACGCGTGTAATTTTGTTCTGTATTATACGCATTGTTCTGCATGTACGCATCAACATCTACTTATTGTAGCGTATGAAAAAATAGGCCTACGTTAATTTTTAATGCATAAAAATATATTCGTTTTTTAATCACTTATTTAATAATTAATTATCTAAATTACTTGATAAATTATTTATTAATATTAAAATATTAGAATATTTATGTGTACAAAGTAGATAGTATATAATAGTATATAGAGACACACTACTCACACTGGAATAGAACGGTTTGAAAAAAACAGAATCTTGCACGCAAAAGCTAAACGTGCTGCAAGAAAGGAACGTGAGAAAATAAAATGCACATCAACTGAGCATCAATGCCAGACGTGTAGAAGAAACTTTAAATCCAGGATTGGACTAATCAGCCACCAACGTATACACAAGGATAACTTATAAGTCTAGGAACATGTCAATATACTTGGTGATCAAGGTCTTCTTCGAATACGAAGGACGAACGAACGAACGAACGAATATAATAGTAAGAAATAAGACAGTTTTATGGTAAAATATAGCATAGTAGGTAGGTTTAAGAAATAGGAAAATATATAGGTTAATATTTTAGGGTGTAGCTTTTGAAAGGGAAAAAAATGCCTGAGGTCACAGTCTGCACCTGAGTCCTATGTCGGCACTAAGGTCTATAATGCATCTTGAGGATATTTCCCGTACGATCAAAATCGTAACGGTACTGGGTTTGGTCTACAGGAGCTCGTGTTTCGTACAGGTCATTCCATTCATAGAAAAAGCCTTTAATGGTGAAAGCGTACCTGTCATTAGCCATAGTAGCCTAGGTCAATACATAACACCAGCTGTATAAAATTTATTATAAGATTGAAAATGTTAATCTTATTATTGCAGTAGTGATACACTATGTACACGGTTTAGTTATTGTTATTTATTCGTTAACATTATCATATTAATATATAAATTTAATGTATTGTTTAAGTATGAATTACTATGTCCATGTTAAATTAATCTTATCTATTAAAATTGTTGTATATTTAAATAAATGTACAATTTTAATAGATAACATGGACATAGTAATTCATACTTAAACAATACATTAAATTTATATATTAATATGATAACGTTAACGAATAAATAACAATAACTAAACCGTGTACATAGTGTATCACTACTGCAATAATAAGATTAACATTTTCAATCTTATAATAAATTTTATACAGCCGGTGTTATGTATTGACTTAGGCTACTACGGCTAATGACAAGTACGCTTTCACCATTAAAGGCTTTTTCTATGAATGGAATGACCTGTACGAAACACGAGCTCCTGTAGACCAAACCAAGTACCGTTGCGATTTTAATCGTACAGGAAATATCCTCAAGATGCATTATAGGCCTTAGTGCCGACATAGGACTCAGGTGCAGACTGTGACCTCAGGCATTTTTCTCCCATTCAAAAGCTACACCCTAAACTATTATTAACCTATATATTTTCCTATTTCTTAAACCTACCTACTATGCTATATCCTACCATAAAACTGTCTTATTTCTTACTATTATATACTATCTACTTTGTACACATAACTATTCTAATATTTTAATATTAATAAATAATTTATCAAGTAATTTAGATAATTAATTATTAAATAAGTGATTAAAAAACGAATTTATTTTTATGCATTAAAAATTAACGTAGGCCTATTTTTCATACGCTACAATAAGTAGATGTTGATGCGTACATGCAGAACAATGCGTATAAATACAGAACAAAATTACACACGTTATCTACACGCGCAAATTTTTCAAACAAACGGAAAAAAACGTTCATCATCATCGTTCAGAACAAACAACAGAAACACCTACAACGATGCACTCATGATTATGTTCTTCCGATCATATTGTACATTTACATGTACTTCCAGGTAAGACATTTGTTTTAGTTTGTTTTCTAAACGTTAATTATTCTTTATTTCATATAAAGAGATTTTGGAAATCACTTAAGGTCCGATTCGATTTCGAATTATGAAAAGTGTAGGCTGTGGCACCGAGACCTCTGACGATTAGTGCCCAAAATTGTTTATAAAAACGTAATGCAATAAATAGCATATTGACTACTATTGTATATTTTCGGAAAATATTTCAGCCGCTCCAAATCTCTTTCCTATTCTTCCTTCTTCCTTTATTCTTTCACAATTTTGCGTTTTTTTCTTCATATTTTTCATAGTTTTATACACTCA